TTTGCAGTTAAAAGAGATACAATTTTTAATTCAAAACAATGGTTTCCCACATTTAATGTGAGGAAAAAATAGTTATAGATCATACAAATAACTTAGTTTCTTCATTTTTATTTATAACTTTTGTATTATTAAATAAGAATTGTAATAATACAAATATAAGACAAAATATTTTTTACTTAGTTCGATAATATTTATATTATTTAATGAAAAAATTCGTTAATTGTTCATAATAACTTAGCTAATTAGTTTTTATATAAATATTTATTTTAATTATTCTCTCATGTCCCAGATGGCAAAGTTCTAAACTAATGAAAACGCAATTAATACGTTCTAGTTTTCTTTTCCTATCCTTTCCCTTTAATAGGACACGAATGATATTTATCTTCATGGAGCAAAAACACTTGTACGTGAAATTAGTTTTCCCAGCGATAATTGGGTTTGAATCCTACTTTCTTTTCCGCGCTTCAACGAAGTTGTTGTTTTTTATACGCCGGAGGCATCCCATCAAATGCAGTTCCCCTTTTGTCCCCGGGACGATCAATATCTGTGTATTACGTTCCCATTAGCGAACAACGAATAGATTTGAATTTTACTGGTTTGATGTTTGCTGTAGATAGGAAAATTACGATTTGCATCAAAGCTAAACTGTTCAATTTCCAAGGGACCTTCGACGGTGAAAATAGCACGGATTGCGAGCGAAAGCTTACAAATAAATACCTTATCGAATCTTATTTTTCTCTGTTCGTGATTAACGTCTGTTACTTAGTGAAAATCCAATCACATTTCATTCTTATCTCGCAATACATTTTCCGTCTGTCAATAGTTAACAGAAAATCAATGATTCGAGATAAGCGTGCTACAATTTTAGTTCGTTTAATATCTGATTTCATACAAATTTAATACAATTTTAGTTTAAAATTTATAGAAAATCAATCTTCAACTAAATACAATTAAACTGAGACTATTAAAATAAGTTAAATTTTAATGATAAATTTTTTAATAAATCTTTTGATGTTTTCCATAATATTTTTTTTAAATTTATAGTATTAAGAAATCATTACAATTTGCAGTATTTTTAACAAACAATAATACAATCTTATTGTTTTACTAACAGCTATTTATTTCATTTAAATATAATTTTATACTCATAGCAAAAATACTTGCTTAGATTGTAAACGAATCTGCAATAATTAAGGAAAATTTTAAATTATGAAAAACAATTTTTTTTAAATTAATACAAAATGTAATATTTTTAACAACTGTTATTTTTATATTTTTCTTAAGTATTAAATATTCAAAGAAGAGAAAAAATACTAATAATTAGTCATTAATTAGCAGAGACTTCGGTCTTTAGTAAATAAACAACTTTTTTGTTAGAATATTTTTGCTTATTTAATTATAACGTGTTGGATATGAATTTAATTTTCAATTTTCCATTAATAATTACACAAATCTTTGTACAAAAATAGCAAATAAATATTAAGAAAGATTATAAAACAAATATTTCTGTATTGATTAGTATAAATGTATTAATTGTACAAAGATAATTGTATTGATTTTAGAAAGAAAATGATGGAAAATAAATAATACAAGAATTATGAATAATTTAGGTGAACTTAATTGAAAGGCAGTAGACTCAATCGCATTTCATTGATTCATTATTTTCATTAATAAATCTCGATTCACAATTTTTCAGTTTACTAGTCTTACCTTAAATTAAGACATAAAACTATCTTACTATGTATATTACATGACAGTAAATTGACTGAGATTACCTGCCTGGATTAGTTAAAGTAAGTTTATGTTCCATACATACGACGGAAAGATCAATACGACGATACTAATTGACTTAGAAGCTTTACTGAGACACCTACCTAGACCGGATTTGAAAGGTATAGTAAAGTGTATATAGTAATACCTCGCATAGCATGGATAGTTTGAAATCGGACTAATCAGAGAAAAAACGCATTAAAATAAAACGCACAAAAACTGCAGTTAATAGTCCTTAGTTTGTTATGAAATTTTCAAAACGGACTCTAGTGAATTCGTACTGATCGAAGCCGCATTACTGTATTGTGTCACTTGTGTATTGTGTATTATTATATAATTTATTATATTATTAAATCAAAAAGTGTTTTTTTTATTAAACTTAATAGTTCTGTTAGGTTAATAAAGAAGTGTTTAGGTGCAATTTACTATGTGCTGGAAAAACAAGTAGTTGAAGAAAGAGGAACACGAGTCTGCATGTTGTTTATTATCCAATCTATAAATAAAGTAATAGGAATAAACATCAACTAAACTTAATCTTTGAATTTGCTAGTTTTAAATTATTTAGATTAAACCTTAGACTTGTTATTCTTTTTTTCTTTGATGTGTACCCTTTCACTAACATTATGTGGATTATACCGATATTTCAATAGTAAATGTATGTAGCAAGAGTTTCTAATTTTTGAAAAGATTTTTTTAACAATAAACAAAAATGAAATTTAAAAAATAAAAAACGATATAATAGAAAAAATATGTATTTTCACTTACTATTTATTGACAACATTTAAAATTAATTAATTAATGAAAAAAACAAATTATAATAATGAATAATTTGTAATTTCTTTATAAACATTGCAACTGAGTAAATATATAAAAAATTAAAAAATTAATAGAGGATATAGTAAAGATTTATTTACTATATCCTTGAATTATTGAGTTTAACGAATGAGTTTCTTAGAAAAATATGAAAAAAAAATAGATTTAATAAAATAATTGTTTGATTTTGAAAATTATTGAATTATTTTTCATTAAATTTTATTAAAATATAATTATAACTAATATGAAAAGGCTTTATTTTATTTTAAACGAATTTAGAATAATTACGGAAAATTGTAAATTATGAATAACAAACTGAAAAGGACGAAGTTTCATATAAATTTATAACGAAAATTCTAGGAAAATATTACTAGAATTTTCTTCTGCCAAATATTTTGCCTTAAGTTCAATTAAAATATGTGCATATAAAAAACAAATATTAATTATTAATAATTTAACGTATTCATGAATTTCCTTAAAAATAATACAGTTTTAAAAAATATTTTGTAATTTGATCAGTAATAAATGTGTTTGTGCAGTGGATATTATTGGAATATGCGTTTGAGTGTTTTCTAACATAAAGATTGTAATACGAAAATAACGAAATTTCCCACAAAATTATGTTTTGCAGCAAAAATCTTAGAAAATATAATGTTATTGTTTCTTTAGCAACTATTTATTTTTTATTAAATTTAATTAGCATATTATTTAAAAAAAATAATAATTAAAAATCAATATACTAAATTAATAATAAAATAATTTTGTGTTTTTTTAAGTTGTTACTACTAATTTATTGGTTAATTAGTGTATTAGGATTGCATTTCCTAATCCATAAATAACGTAATCCTCAAGAGTCTCCTACACTAACTAGGCTACAGGAGGTAACGTTTAAAGAGGATCATTATATAAGTAAATAACGAGGCACTCGGTGTGATATGTGGGGCACTTAGAAAATAATATTTGTAAGTCGGCAAGTGTAGTTAAACAGACGAATGCATGCATACACATCAGCCTCAGCCTGTGCGACTGACTGTGTGTGTATAGTATAAACCGTGACGCCGGGGCATAAACAATTATCGGAAAACGGAACGATCACATGACGAACGACAATAAATACCGCCGAAAAGTGTTTATTCCGCGGACATCCCCTAATTCTTTTTATTACCATTTACGGGGCAGTAAATTCAAACAGCAATTTAACGCTCCGTCAACTCTTTCATCAGCTGTCCGTTATTATATGGGTTGTCATTTGGGAAATGAATTAATGAACTTTATGTTTGATCGATTATAGCAATCCGTTTTGTTTTAACGATCAGAGCAGAAGGCAACAATCTTTGATCCATCTACCTGTCATTTAAATACACTTTTTTTTCATCTATTTTGAAAGCGTAAACAGTTGAAATTAAAGCGAACGCGCAGAAATGCTTCAAAGTTTTTCATTTAATACGCAAATTTAAACTTTATTTTTACCTTTCGCACAAAACTCTCGTAACTAAAAAAGTTTGCAAAAGTGAATTGGGACACGTCCAGAGAAACTTCTGGATGTAATAATTTCTTTATTCTTATATAAAGTAATTCAATTACCTAAAGAGTATAAATATTTAGATGCAAGTTCTAATTCGATATAATGAATATAGTATATAATAGTAATCGACCTATTGTAATAATTTAAAGATAATCAAGTATAATCCGAATATGAAATAATACTATATAAACATTAAATTTGACAGCTGTCACTTTTGCAGTAAACACATTTGTAAGAAAGAAACTAGACAAAAGATGCTTAAGTTAATAATTAGAAAATGCTTTGAAATTTACATTTTCCTTACGAAATATTGAAGTTGTATTGTAAATATTGAAATTCCTGTGGGATCAATTCTAGGGACCAAAACTTTAGTTTTTACCCCAATACCCGATCCCTCGTGATGATCATGCATTATGTATTTATGCAGATGATATTCGTTACAAACTGTGCCTTACAATATTACTTAATTCAACAAAAACAAATTTGTGTTAAGCAACATTATCATATTTAATTTAGTTCACTATGGTAACTTATGTGCGTTGTCAAATGTCAATTTTAAATTTTTTACATACATCTTTACATATTTTTAGAGCCTAATAATTTACTCATTACGTTGACGTTGAGAATAGTTGTTGTTTTATAAATATAAATTTCTTAGAAAAAATCACTAGAAATATGCTGAATTTAAATATTAGAAGTTCTTATGTGATAATAGTTTCATATAATAAATTTTGTGTTATTATAGCAATTGTTTTATATGCTTAATATAAAAAACTAAAGTTGAAAGTTAATATAAAATTTTGCAAAATAATTATCTTTTCATATTTCTTTACAGTAAAAATCCGATAAGATTAATTAAATTGATAGATACTAATTAATTACGTAACATTACCTTCTATTCAGTGCGAGTCTAGGATGAACGGGAGGAAGCAGACTGTCGAAGTCCTGGTAATAAGTGGAGTTTTGATCTTGAGCATGGAAAGAAGCGTTAAAAACTGCTATCACAGAATTCAAGTGCCTACACGTTAACATCATCGTGCAGCTCTCGCATTTGGTTATTTCTACATATTCTGCAACAACAAAAAACACATAAATTGATATTTATAATAATCATGGAAAACTTTACATATGCAGTCAATATTCAAACACATAATTTTATAAAACTTAAATACATCAATACCTCGCATAGTCCGGCTTCAATCAGTACGGATTTACTATAGTCCGGTTTGAAAATTTCAAAACAAATTTAATTTTAATTGAATACAATAAAATTATTTTAAAAAATAAATTGCACTAAACTATTTTCTTATTTATTTTTTTTTTTGCCTTTTTGTGCTGTTTATTTTGTTGTATATATTTAGTTCCTCGATTAGTCCGGTTTTCAAATGGACGGAACTGATTAACTGCACTTTACTAGGTATTGTTGCATATATTAATTAATTTTAATGTACACTAGATAAAACTAAAATTTAATTAATCATTGCATGAACATTAAAATGTGTGAAAAATACCAACTTTTATTGATTTAATTTGGGCCAAAGTTTAATTAGTCTAAGTCTGTATGTATAAATCTGAAAATGTATATTGAAGTTTTTATATTTAGAAATAATGAAATTGATTTTAATTATAAAATACTTTTGTTTTATACGAAAGTTCTTTTTGCAAATAAAATTCTGCAACAACATAAAATACGATATTCATTAATTATATACCAACCATTCAATTATTTATTTATTTTCAATAAAAAAAAATGCACACTAATTTATTATTTAAATATATACATTTCTGAATTGGAAATTTGGACCTAAAGTTTTTTTTAATTAAAATGTATTTTTCATAATTAGTTTTCTCAAAAAGTATATGTTGCTTTCTTGTTCTTTCTCTAATGTTAGCAACAATAAATTGAATACTTAAAAAAATAATATTTTAATTTTTTATTTCATATTATTGTGCATAAAACTATCAAATTAAGATTTAATGAATTATGTAATACTTTGACAGATTGCTTCTGAAATTTTATGTATACTAAAATCTTGTTACTTTTGCAAATTGTGTACATTAATGTACTTAATATAGGGGTAGGTCATGGGAATAACGTGTATTTCCATTTAAAAATGAATATATCTTATTACTTGTTGCCATGGTTACATTTAAAATAACCGACGATTGTTTATGACAAATATGTTATAATTGTAATTTTAATGATTTTAAAAGAAAAATAATTGAAATTGTTAGTGTACTCACCTATATAAGCTAAAGTATTTTGCATAAATAAAGCGAAAATGGTAAAATATTTTAGGTCCAGCATAGTATGCAACATTTTTTCCTCTTTTTAATCTTAATACACATAATTAACAGGACCGGAACGAGCGACCCGGAAACGTAAACATTTGCAGCGAAGTTGGCGCGAAAAAAAAATAGGAATAAAACTAAGGACGAGAAAAGGGGATGGAATTCGAGAGAGAGTCGCGTCGTTTCGACGTCGACTTTCGACGCCAATGTGCGGGAGCAACCACGAATGCGTCGCGACGGCCTCCAACTTTACGCCCCACTTCCACACATCCACCAATACACGCTCACATTCAGCACACGTACACATCTGTGTGTGTAAGCACACACAAGCATGCACACAACCCCAAGGTTACGTCACTTGCAACCCTCGCGCGCCGTCGCCACCGCCCCCGCGCTGCGTCCCACTGAACCGAATATCTGCGAGCCCCAATTCGTCCCTCGCGTTACGTAACCGGGCCAAAGAGGGAACAAATGAAAAACACCGAGAGAAAAAAAAAACGCACAGTACTGTACTTTAAGCGCGCAAAGAAATTGCACTTGTTTCCGTTTTAACGGATGCGGCTTTTCGGGGGTGGCCACGATCGCATCGAATCATTGATTTTCATTGCATACCCAATTTCTGAATCACTCCTTCTCCTCTCCCCTTCTGAATTTATGATTTCATTAAAATTCGCCGCGTTATTTGTTGTTTTCACTCGAATTCGCCCCATTCTTCACAATTCTAAATCAGATTTGTCCACATACGCAGCTGCCTTTCCCAAATCTGACACTGACAACAATCAGCTGTTATTAGCATGTCCTACTATGTTTTTATGTATCCAATAACATTTACAACAAATTATCATAATATGTCTTTCTGCCCTATGTATCCAAGGTGTATTAAGGAATCGATATTTGTGTTAAATAAATAATTGTTATAATTAGTGAACAAATGCAGAAATAATGCAATTTTATTTATATTAAACTAGTTTTACAAGTATTTGTAACATATGTATAAGTAAACACAAATAATGATTGACAGAACAAACCGATGACAGTAAAGCTGACATATTTTAGAGAATGTATTAAAAAAAAAGATTTTAAATGATTTGATCAATTTCTAATTACTCTTTTTTTTGTTATGTTAAATAGTTTTGTAACTAAAAGTAATATAGTTATATTATTTACTATAATATCAATCAATAATAGTAAATTGTGACAAGTCAAATCAAATATTTATAGTTACCTAGACAACCAAAATTTGTTTAATAAATACTAGCAAATGAATGTCTAATAGTGATTAGTAGTTATTTTTTTATCAACATTTAAATTAAAATTTATTTGCATTTTATTGGAAAACTAGGACAAAAAAAACAAAGGTTTTATATTTCTCTTGTGTGTACTTATTTAAATAGTTGTATAATTATTATAATAAATATTGTTATTATTATAAACAAAATACAATTTTTACATTACTGCTTTTTAAGATTCATGAATTGTTTTATTACTATCGTAAAATAATACATTATTTATCGATATTTTATGTTATAAAACAATATTTTTTTTTATTGATACTTCATTTCTGTCCTATAATATTATTGCGTAACGTTACGAGCGAAAACACATCTACAAAACTACGTCAACATTTTATACGTTTTTTTTTTTTGTTATTGATCAACGATGGTTCTGCGTTACGTATTTCTCAATTGTCGTCACTATTACAACCACAATATTTCTAAGTATAGATGGAACATTCCGAATAATAAGAAACAACACAAGTATTTTTAAACAATTTAGTGTATTCGCTGTAACGATTGATTTAATACCCAATGCATATCATCATTTTTAAATAAATAGTTGAAGGAACAGTAAAATATGTGTTTCTAATAGAGAAATAACAAGATGTGTGGTATGAAATAAAAATAAAACTACTATAATAAAACGTTTATTGATATTTTTATAGTACTTTTATTAAGATACTTAATTGGTTTAAAAGCTATATTTTGGTAATCGATTAATATAAAATTTGTAAACACTCTTGATTTTTTTTTCAATGAAATATAACAACAAATATTTCAATATTTGTGTTAATGTGTTAATTAAATGCGTTCATCATGCGTTAACAACATTTTCTACTTTGTTAGTGGTGAATCATCCATGAAACTTTTCAGAATTTATGAAAGGACATAATGAAATAAAGTTATGATAATGTTAAAAGTTTGAGTAAGAAACCTTAAGTTTCTTGAGCAGTGAAATACGGATTAATGGTATTAAAACTTTATAAAATTAAACATTAAAGTAAATCATAAACTAAGTTTATAACAATATTTCAAAAGATAGAAAATGTTTGATTGCTGTAATACGCGTTCAAAGTTGAAAAATTGAAATTAGAACGTTCGAAAAAGCAGTGTTTTCACATTTCATTGATTTACTCGAAAACTATACTAGATAAAATGAATCCAATATATGCACATAAAAGCTGAATGTTTGGGGAATCCTGCAAGTATAGATACATTCCTGTGCTCTTGTTCATATTGCTGTAATACGCGTTCAAATTGAAAAATTGAAATTAGAACGTTCGAAAAAGCAGTGTTTTCACATTTCATTGATTTACTCACTATACTAGATAGAATGAATCCAATATATGCATATGAAAGCTGAATGTTTGGGAAATCCAGCAAGTATAGATACATGCCTGTTCTCTTATCCATATTACTGTAATACGCGTTCATTTTATGAAATGGAGGGGGGGAGGCGTCAAATGATTACATACTTTTGAGGGAGGCGTAGTAACATCAATTTTGGAAACCACTGATTTAGAGTAAGTATTACAAAATAATTTATTGTTAATTGTGTGTATGATGTGCTGCAGTACTTGTAAACAAAAAGGTTAATAAAAATTGAATAAAGCGTAAATTATTAAAATTTATTTCGATTGTACAAACGAAAAATAAATAAAAAATAGGGTAAAGCCATTTCCATGGTGACAAGGACGAAGGAGCCAAAGCACTAATGGATTGATCGATTAGGTTTTTTTTTTTCTTGAAAAGCTAAATTTTGGTTTGCTTTCTGTGCGGACATTTATTTGTTTTCCTTTTAAAATTTTCTTATTTGGGTTTTGGTGTAGTGGATGGTGATAATGATGCTGCTGCGATCGTTGTTGTTGTCGTTGTTGTCGTCATATTGAAGACCGCAATGTCGTCCGGTAAGCTAATTTGGAACTGCAAGAGGACAACTAAGTAGGTGACCATCGTGGCCAACAACTAAAAATAAAACCAACAATTAACCAACGAAAGTCATCGCGATGCGCTAACCGAAAGCGCGGAAGAAGAGAGGAGGACCTTTCGGAATGCCGCTATTTATTTGCGGAATTCCCGAGTTTATGTACAGATGTTTACTTACGGACTTAAATAAGTTCCTATTGACGTCAAAAAAACCGCCCAAACTCATATTGGTCGGATTCATTTCGGTCGCTCTCAGAAACATATTGATCTAAAAATGAGAATGTTGAGTATTCAAAATTCTAATCAAATACTCTCTATTCGTACTTCTTGTTGGGCATCTTCGTTCATCCACGAGAGTTTCACCAATAGCAACTTCTTCTGAAAATTGACCCTTACCTACAATTTTGATTCAATTATTGTCATGATAATAAATGAAACAAAGAAGGCTTACACAATTCGATGCGTAGTGTGCTTCGTCGCAGATAAAATAAAGCAAAGCGATCGAGAAGATTGCAGTCACCGTTAGACCGACATCCTTGATCCCGAATCCGTCTTGCAGAGTTGAGAGTAGACCGTAAATCGTTAGTGTTATTATCAAGAAGAGATACAGACTGAGGAATGTTAGAACGTAGCAAGAACCCAATCCGACGTCGCGTGTAATTTTTGCCAGGAGCATCCAGAGCGATCGGAACTCCGCAACCCTTGCAGAAGGACCTGAAATTGATTGAAGTTAAACTAGTTAACACTATTAGAAATTAAGTACCTATATTTTTAAGCGTCTGCTCAAAGTCTTCGGCTATTATAGTTGCAACTTTACCAATCACATCGCAATGCAAATACCAAAAACCTCCAGTAATGTACGTGATTGTATTTATGTAGCAATACGGAAGAACCTGAATCAAAAGTAAAAATAAGTTTAAAATATGTTAATTGGTGTATGAACGCACTTGCAAGAATCTGAAAAAAACCATGGTTAAATGCGTGACAACCATAATAACGCAAGAGAGGATAGGTAAAGCCAGACTTATAATGAGAGGTTTGTTGCCTGAAAAACGATGCGTCGATTAATTTGTCTTTTTAACAGAAACGATGTGATTACCTGTGAATAGAGGTAATGATTTTTGTTGGATTTTTCTGTAGATCCGTTCGAAAACGGACCAATCGTTGAAGACCCTAACCAATTTGATAGCCTCGTACCAGGAGACGGGTAACATCAGTACCGGCACTAGATATAAGGTGAAGAGGTAACCGATTACCGCCTCCTCGAATCGTCCCTCCGCCGATTTCACGATCTCCACTTTGTCCCATTTGATGTATCCAATGTATCCTACCATTACGAGAAGGACGAACCCGGAGTACACCAGGAGGACGGTCGTAATTTTGAATTTGCCTTTCGAAACGAACGACACAGGAAAGATTCCCATCGCCCTTGCCAAGTATATGATCGGTTTCAGGGTGTCGTACACTATTGTTTCTGAGATCATATGATTGTACATCATCGGATTGTAGTTGCTGTTCGGAGCTGGAGCAACCTTGGTGTAGGATGCTTTCGCCTCGAAACTGACCCCATCGAGGAAGACGGCCTTCTTCGGTTTCGATCCATTCAGATTTAGCCTCTCGCCCAGCACGTTGATACCGACACTATTGTTATTGAACATCGTCCTCTCCTAACACATCCTCGCCGAATGACCAAAAATCGTCCAACTCGTTTCACTTATATTAATTGTGAGCGATTAATGTTTGACCTCAAGTAAAGGCGTCTCGGTGTTTACGTAGCATTAAAATTTTAAAGGGCCACAGCAAGTCGGTCAAGTTTATCGAATTATTAACGAGCTGCGGTCACTCGAAAATCAATGAGCACCGTGAAAATTATCCCTGTAATAACTTTATATGGAAATGATTACAAATCGCAATCGTAATTGATTCAAGATAAACCCTGATGTTGGATTCACAAGAATTTCATTTTAATTATTGATCAATCATGTTCTAGATGTTTATACAAATCATCCAGAATTTTTAATTACAATTGAACCTCGAATTGCTCTGAATAAATTTTGGAAAATGAGCAAAAAAATATATAGAATATTAATTTAATAAACTATTTTAAAATACGAATATACGCTTTGTTGCTGACGTGATCACAAGCCAATCGGGATGAGTATTCGTTTTGCATGCTCGCTTTGTATTGCAATTATGCTCGCAAACCAAGGTTCCACTGTATTTATAACAAAAAATTGACGTAAAATGACAGCTATCATTTCGTGATTTAATTAAGTAAAGTCCCTTAGGTTGAGAACCGCTGATCTAAATTATTGCGTCTTTTCTTGCTGAATTTCAAAAACAGTAATCGTCAATAATCGTTCCTAGTAATCATAAAGAATTATTTTTCTCTATACATCGTCATTACTAGTTTCTAATTATTTGAATCAAATATTTATACGGTGATCAACATTAAAATGACAAATTGCAATTTCTTATTTAAGCATGATTACATTGAATAAATAATCGAAACTAAATATTATATAGACATTTGCAACAGTTGATTTTTTTTATTATTGTAATGTAAAAAACTTATTGCTGCTTCTAAGCTTAACATTCCTGGTTTAACTTTTTCGTAATTGAAGGTCAAACGTCTGATATTGGAATTAACAGATTTGATGAAGCTTTAGGAAAACAGTATCAGTTTGACAAACATTAAGTAACAATATACCATGCCAGACATCACAAAACGACTAATATTTTAAATTAAATCATTTCATGAATTATACATATTTCATATGTATATTTAAAACGTTCGATAATTTATTTTCTTTCTTTTCTCAAGAATTGTTTACATCTCACATCTTTATTTATTTATAAATTACATGTATATGATTTTTTTTTATAACCGTGAAGATCGGTATGGGCGAATGCCAATAATATTTCAGTGTCCTTATTATATATAATTTGGTTACAGGTACATAAGCATTTACCTTTTATATTTGTACCATGTTTCTTATGCGACATCTTTTAATCAATAGCCGAACTGTTTATCAGTTAATAATATAAAATAAACTGTAGCTTATTTTTTTTAGATACTTAGGCAAAAAAGAAACTGATGAATTGCTTGATTTTGTTCCCCCGCGTCAAATATAACGATAACCACTTTACGATGCATAAAATCAAACGTGAAACGTGTGATGGAAAAATGTTTATCAAGGTAAAATTATATTGATACGCTTGTTCAGCGCCAATAGTTGGTAACAAGTATCCACAAAAGTTGAATTTCATGACGTCAACTGTTTGTTATTAATTCGGATTTTTCACAAGTGATTTCGGTCACCAGCTGGCGTCGTGATCGTCAAATGTTATCATTATCCCCATATTGGCGATACTATAACTAGATACTAGATTTCAGGTTGCGCGTTCTACTGTTTCTGTCAAAATATGCGTCTTAGGACTTACGCAGTTCCAAATTTATATATACGAGCTTATACGAGGGTAGTCCCAGAAGTACCCGACGTCACTATTGTGGTCGAAAGTACCAACCTTATAAAGCTTAAGTTAAGCTACATTGTTTAGTATTTGTTTGACAGCCATCAATAGTGTACGATCTTAGTGAATTTGTAAAGATGGAAAAAATTGGTCATCGTTATGCGATACAAGATCTTCATTTGAAAGGTCTCAATACAACCAATATAAAAGCAGAGCTAGATTCTACTCTGGGGGATTCTGCTCCATCGTATTCAACAATAAAGTTTTGGGTGGCAGAGTTTAAACAAGGTCGTACGAACCTCGAAGACGAACATCGCAGTGGTCGAACAATTGGAGTGACTACGCAAGAAATGGTGAAGAAAATCCACAAAATTGTATCGGCGAATCGTCGATTGAAAGTGCGCGAGTTAGCAGGCATGGTAGGCATTTCAAAAAGTGCTGTACATCGCATATTAACTGAAAATTTGGACATGAAAAAGCTAGACGAAGAATGGGTGCCGCGTTTGCTCTCAGTGACAAAAAAACAGCGTCTTGAGGATGACGTCGTACCAGGAGACAAGAAACACACGACGAGCGAGGCCGGAAATAATAGAGCTGAAAGATATCCGGATATTGAAAATATACCGGAAGTGCAGTAAGTCATCTTTAGTTTATTATGTTTTAAAATGTTTGATACAATAGTGAACACTGAAATTTAAAACAGTTGGTAAAAGTACTTTATAATTATATATTAATTACAGTCGTAAATACTAGATCGTATTACAGTTTCTTTATTGATATGCACAATACGCATTCAACACTTTACATATCATAACTATAAAATTTAATGCCCTGTATTATTCAATAATTTACATAACACTTAAAAATAGCGTCAGTGCTAAAAGTGATAATTTACTAATTGCTTGATCAAATAAATATTTTTTTTAAATAACTATATTTCAATTTAAACATATGTCAATTAAACTAAACATTAGTTTAGTTTGACAGTTGATACTTTTAAATAATGATTAATTGAACAAATTCAATGCAATTGCTTGTAATAACTATTATACAGGTTTGTTTTTAGTAGCAGTAACATTTTCTTCGTAATTCCTAATTAAGTTATACATTGCAAATTTTACTAATTAACGGTTTGTTTGCTTTTTGATATTTTCTTAATGTATATTTGGTTGCCTGACAACGTGGTTTATGTCATTTTAAGAAGGTTATGAAAACAGTTATTGTCAAATGTCATTTATCGCGGTTTTGATGGCTTACTTTGTGTTTGGCCGAATCGTTTGTGTACGATAATATATGGAACAGCGACAATGATAGTTATTTTTGATTGGGATTATAACGTGCAAATGTGAATGGGTTCTATTTTACATGTTTATGAAACTCAAAGGAATCATGTAAGCGAAATGTTTAAAACCACTGAACATCGTATATGCTGTGTGCCTTTTCTTTGAGTGGTATTATAGTATAATGGTCTTTCAGAACTCCCAGAATGTCGCAAAGACGAGGCAGGAAGAGGGGCCCATACAAGAAGACGCGCATGAGGTATGAGGAACTCAAAGAGCTCGCCGATTCCGACGAGGAAGACGTCAAAGTAGTACTAAACAAATCTAATGGTGCGATATCTTCCTTTACTTGTTTTAAAAAAATATTGTCATGTTGCATTTAAAAGTTGGTATATGCAGAGCAGACGGTACCAAAACGTTGTGACCGTGCCAGCGGTACTCAAACAATTCATGTTCGTATTTCCCGCCATTCGTATAAGTTTTAGGGGATTTCGCATTCTCTTGAAACGTCAATATGGCTACCGATTTGGTAACTTTTTGAGAATACTTTAAAAGAATTCGGTAAAGTTCACTTTAGTGGCCTTAGCAAAAGTGATCTCTAAAGAAAAATTGAAGTTTCTGCTATTCCTTAGTTTTCGTGCAAATCAGATCCTCAATTACCAATGTAAATGTGTATTATTTAGTATTTGGAGAACATTCTGAGTCATGATAACACCAACCTTGCTTATTTTTAAAAGTGACATATTATTAACATTAGAAAAAAATAAAAGTTTTTCCTTGAAAGAAGGAATATTGTCAAGTTAATGTGGATAATTCTAAGTTTATGTTAAACATAACATGATGAGAGGCAGACCACCTAAACGAGGAAGAATTTATCGAAATAACACTGACAATAAGGTGCAGAGGCTTAACTACAGCGATGGTGAATATATAAGGAACAGCCCCAATAATAAGTTGTTGGAAAAAGATGATTCTGCATTATCAGCAGTTGACAAAAGTTAGTTTCTTATAATAATGGAAATTTTATTGTAACCATGACAACACATGAAACATGCATCATTTTATATATTCATTTATTGATTGTAATTCTTATGTGTATAAACAAATTTTAGGTACAGCTGAACCAAGTGTTCCGGAACTTAGAGCTGGTTCTAAACGTGCTGCCAGTAAGGTGGCTATGAAACAACTGCAAAAATTATCAAAAAGTATTTTAAATGATAAAGTGGACGAAGAAGGAGAAACTTTAGAAATATTATCAGATGCTGATGATGAGGTAAATAACATCATTTCAAATTATAATAGAATATTTTAAAATGTTTTATTTATATATAAGAACTTCTTTGCTTTATTTATTTTATTTGTCCTATTTTAAAATCAGCAATTTTAATAATAATAATATTTATTGCAACAATAAATTACAAAATAAAAATAAACTTAATAACAAAATAAAATTCAACTGCTGCAAATGGCCTCATTCATCCATTTAAATTTCATACTTTCTTACTACATTTATATTTTAATGAGAAATCACGAAATAGTAATATTTATCGCTTTAGTTCGTGCCTGATTTTCAAGCAACATCAACAAAGAAAACATATAAAGTATCGCAAAGGAAGTCTTCAGATGGAAACGGTGAGTTTCAATTGAAACAATTTGGAAGAACCTCTGTTTATATATATATATTTTTTTTAATTATTTTCAGAACGAGATATTTTGGTTTTTAAAAGTTTAAATTCCGGCAGCACATTGAATTTGGAATGCTGGACGGAAGAACTAAGCGCAGCACAACTGGAGATGAGATCTCGCAGACAACGAGAGTATTTGGAAATGTCTGATAAAATTGAATCTCTTATTAAAAAGACCGGCGCGGAAATAATCTACGAAGGGTTTTCGTTTACCGCTTTCGAAATTGAAAGTGCACCAACGACATGTGCGACTGTCCCGGTCTCAATTTTACCATCCACCAGCCAGCAACCATCAATACCAATAGCAACCGCTTCCACCTTGGTTCCTACAGCTATGATCACTCCTACGCCCGTTGCTATACAACCTGCTGTAACTGCAGTAACGAAACCACCACCACCTCCGTCGGCAACTGCTACTGCAACCACCCCGTTTTCTCTAGTACTGGACGCAAGGTCTGGTCAAGTTGTGGGAACAGTAACACAAGCCAGCAGCTCACCAGTTCTTGGTTCTACCAGTCTGAAGACAAGGAAGCGCGGCAGAGCTGCTACGAATTCCCCGACACCTACGAAAGTAGCTAAAATGTCTGTAAGTTTGAGTTATACTTTGTTTTCGTTGTCACAATTATAAATAAACTTTGCTGCTTTTAGAACGTGTCTCAACCTCCGCCCTTAGTTGCGCTTAGGGATGATCCGAATATGATAGTTCCAACTAAAGTACAAGCAATCGCTCCAAAACCGACACAGGCTTCATCATCATCATGTACATCTCCGTCTCCATCTGTCGCTGTTGTCGATCTTACTTCAGAGGATTCGATCACCAAAGCACCACCAGCCGATAGCCGAGAAGTTGCTTTTAATAAACTCGCTGGTAGAACTTTTCCGTCGCTTGTGGTAATGGCAAGGCCCCATTTACGTGTATCACCAACTTCTGGTTCTGCTGCGGATCGTACCAGACTCGACCAGAAAGTGAAGGCAGTTTTGACGCATTCAGTGACGAAATTTACCGAGTGGCTACTTCAGCAAGGTATTATAAGAGCAGAACAGTCTTGCTCGGTGCACAATTCTAAATTGAAGCTGGGCATGTATAGCGAGTTGTATAAATTTCCATTTTCGGGCGGCTACGTTTGGATCTCCGAGTGTTGTCCGTTGAAATTTACCTCCGTCTTTCAAGGATCTTTATTCGAATCTACGCCGCACGCACCGAGCGTTATACTAAAACTAATTTATCATTGGTGTTGTCAAACTAACGTGCAAAATGTTGTTCAGTGGGTGAGGGTTGAGAATTTGTATGTGAAAGGTCTAAATACTTGGCTGAGGTCTGTATGCACTGTTGCCCTGCATACGCACATAGAACGACTCGGAGGTCCTGGAATTAAAGTAGAAATTGGCGTAATATCTTTGGGAACAACCACTCAGGACGGACAACAGCGACAGGTGAAAGTGGAAGTGCTCGGTATTTTAGAGTGTGGCAGTAAAAAGTTACGGTTAAGAGCTGTAGAACCTTTAACCGAAACCGAACGGAACTATAGAAAACGTTTTAACAAAATTTTGGAACCGTTAACCGCGTGGGTTCATCCGTCCAGTATAATTGTGACGGATTTAACGGTGGATAAAGGAACGCTGCACGCCCTAGGTTTCCTAAACGTGCAACAAACAAATTCGGCGCCTGGCAATCAACAGATCATGGAATATTTGAGAAAAATTGTACCGCGAATGTTCCAAAATACGTTGTCGCTTCTATCACGGCAGATTATTCAACAATTTTTAGATGAGTTGGTATGGCGAGAGTGGTATGGTACTACAGCTGCTGAAGCATTCGATAATCTCATGATCCACCTTGCCGAACAAACGAAAGTTGATACTGGACATTCTCTGATTCAGAGACTAAATAAGGTCTCGAGTTATCCTTTTAAAAATTGGAGTATTTTTACTTATTTGGCTTCACATAAGCCGTTACCTCCTATGGAACATCAAATTAAAAGGCAACGGCGCAAACAAAACTTCCCGAAATCGGGAAGTCCGACCTTCGAACTCGTCAAACCGAACAGATCCACGACTCCACTTGACATTCCTGAGCAGATGGTCCCGTTGGAACATTACTATTATGGCACGATAGAGGCGGGACTGAAAGAAAAACCAGAACATTTTGATCAAATCCTCAAGTGCTTAATATGCAAGCAACAAGTTTCTAATAACATCGAATTGATGTTGCACTATTTCAAACATGCCCAAAACATATCGATGTGCAGCACTCAGTGTCATTACTGTTTAGCTGTACCGTCTGCGAACGAAGACATTGAGACTCATATCCAACAGCAGCATCCCAATACCACGAAAGTCGGAAGTTCGTTCGTTTGCATCATTTGTGAGAGCAGTTTCCCGAACGTCTACGATTTAGGAAAGCATCTATCCAAGATCCACGGTCCATCTGAGCTGCCTTACCAATGCGATTCTTGTTTATACCGATGTTCCAATCATAAGCAAATCATCGACCATTTCCATCAGGTCCACAAACACGAATCTATTCTGCAATGTCCTTACTGCATCAAAACCGTGTCTTTACTGTATAATGGACGTTTCAGTACTCAGCAATTGTCGTCCTTCCTGAACCATCTGCAGAAACACAGTAAGAAATCGGTAGCGAAAAAATGCACAAAGTGTGCATTATCGTTCGTGTTGAAGGACGATTATAAAGAGCACATTAAGATGCACATTTCACTTAAAAAGGATGTCGATCTAATGCCGTGGCCCATAAACGGAATCTTAGCACCAAAGTGTGTAAAGGATTACGAGATAGTCAAAGTGGATATATCCAATGTGACCATTGATGCACCCGAAAATACCAAATGCAAGGAGTGCGGGATCGACCTCACTACTGTCTCACATTTCCCGTAAGTTATCAATCAATATTAATTATTATGAAATAGCAAATAATTATTTTTATTTTAGTGGAGTTCTATCTTGCACGAATGACAATTGTCGTTACATTACTTGCTGCAAGATATCTATGGACAATCATGAAAGTCTCTGCAACATTGTGTCATTACCAATACCATACATGAAATTGCCCTTCAAGATGTATTGCGTTTGCGATTATACTTCAAATGATGGTAAGTTGTTAGACTATTCCTGAATTCAACTCCCAATTATTTTCTATTAATTATATTGCATTAATCAAACGTATTTTTTTCCCGTAGGTAACGATATGGCAAAACATTTAGCAGTTTGTGAACGGAGATCAGCGTATCCCACTCAGGAAGCAGCAAAAACTGCGACAGTGACGCACAGCATGCTAGATGTGCTTGGACTTATCAGAAAGCCGGAAGAAGCGCTTGTGGATATCGAGCCGCTGGTTAGGAGTAGTAAAGATGAAGATGACGAATATAAAATGGACAAAGACGTGAGGGACGCTCGAGCTGATGAGATTCTCCTTATAGAGGACAATCCTGCCAAATTGATAGAACTCCGACCTGACGATCTTGAAGAAAATAAGACTGAGGATGTATTAAATGGCGGTGATGACCTCGAGGAAACAGAAACTGTAGATGTTATCCGCCCCGAAAAGGATGACATGATTATGGAACCGATGGAGATCTCGACGGATCCAATAAGCAACGACGATGAACTTGCAACAACAATAACAGAGTCACTAGATGCTCCGCCTCTTCTTGATCCTATAGCCACCGTTTATGTTGAAACACCGCCCACAGCGGATGCTGATAAATCTATTGATGCTGATATCTCTGATCTTGCTGACACTTCTGTTGATGCGCTGGCGAAGGACGCTGACACCACGGTCGATGCTGAAACAACTGCAGATGATGTATCTAATCCACTAAGCGATACAACCACACCATTGGTTGAAACTATGGTAACGGAAAGTAATAGTCTAACGGAAACCGCCGACGACGAAGAGTCGGCCGATGTCGATAAACAGAAAACCTAATTTATTTTATGAAATAAATAACTGTATAGCTTTAGTTTATAAGGTTATTACTTTTTTGTTTGTTTTTATATTATACATATATAAATATATTTACCTAATGTTAATTGTATAAACTATTAAGGTTTCTTGAACTAAAAACAAAACGTAATTAAAAGCGGATCTTTATTGATGAAAAATATAAGAAGAAATAACGATAATTATTCTAAATAATGTTATTTGTTTTTTTATCAAGAATCGGCGGTTGGCGATTTTGTATTTTTAAACGCTCGGTCATGGCGTGCCGAAGGACGCTATGTTAATAAAAAAAAGAAAACTTGTTTTTAAAAATTTGTTCGCAAAATTTAATAAACATGTTTAATAAATAAACAAATCTTTTTTAATGCAACACTAGTTTATTTATTTATTTGTATGTGTGTACATGGTAACAAAAAAATAGTAATCAAGGATGTAAGGAGGAAAACTACGGACTGTCATGGAAATGCGTTCGTCGTTTGTCTTTCTTTTGGTGGATACAACAAATTTGGTTTCACGGTAAAAAGTATCTCTGGAACAGAAGACATAAATTTAGTATTTATTTATTTTCAAATTTGTAATTTACCTTTGGATCGGCTTTAGCAATGCATACATGGAAGTTGTAGGCTTTTCCGCATTCTTCCGGACTATCTACAAGCAACAAATGTATTTATTAAAACATCTTTAACTACTTTGTAATAATAGTGTTTCATACCTGGAATATCTCTGCATTTTTCGAAGATTTCTTCCAAAATCGGTTTAACATCTGCGTGCATTCCATCCAATATATGTTCATAATGAATGGTACCATCAGGAGACATCTAAAAATTTGGTTTTTATTATATGTGTAATTTTGGAAATCTTCTCGTCTTACCCATTTCGCTTCGTGCAGCATGCATTTCATATAACACTTGAATTTTTCATCGGTGTTTGTAATCTTATATGTTTCAATGTCCGCTTTTTAACAGAATAACAAATAGTAATCAACATTTCAGATTAATTTCATCTTACCATCAGTTAAACCGCCAATTTTTGCAGTGCAGATCTTCCTCAGTCCCAGAATAAAATCCACAATTTCCGGTGGTAAAATCTATAAAACCAGAAGATATTTTTGTTAATTTCATGTACCTTTCATAGTGCGGGTACTCGGTTCCCTCATTATAACCGCACTTATCGAGGACTTTAAAAACGCATATAAATGAATAGAGACTTGAGTGCATAAAGGAAAAAAATCTATTATTTATAACTTTGTGCATTATTTGTTTGAGAATTTATTTTTCATATTTAATAAGTACAACATTCAAAAATTATTTGCTTAAAATTATTATTTTTTGTCTTACCGCTCGCATTTCTGGAGGAATTGCATTTAATTCTATAACAGCAAACGCTAGAAAAAGAACTAAGACTGCTTTCTGCATTTTGGCTGATTAGATTCTGTCGCAACTGAACCTCATACGAACCTTTTTATTCGTTAGTTCGATATATCATTAGCATTAATTATAATCAAAGTTACGCAATATCCGTGATCAAGACAATAATTTAATTAACAAACAGAAATTAATTAATAATACTATGATATTAAAAAAAATAATTGTATTGTTAATTACTAGCGTATTAAAACTTGTTTTTGTCACGAAAGTACACATGTTTCATTGATTAAATTACTGAGTGTTACTGGAAAAGGTTACAAGAAAAATAAAATTTAAGTAAAATCAATGGAAACATTACTGAATTTAATTCGAGTAGCAAATGGAGTATTTCACTATACTTACCTGTTTTTCTTTAAATTGAATAATACTTATTCTTTTTATGACAAAAACCGTTAATTCAGTAATAATTAAGCACACTCTAAATACGTGTAAAAAAATGTATTTAAGCAAAATTAAGTAATCAAAAAAAAAGTTTACAGTTTACTATTGAAATTGTATACACAAGCATTTAAATATGTAAAAAATAAATATAAATTAAAGAAATCAATTAAAAAAAAAACAATTGTAATAAGAATTTATCACAGAGATGTTAAGATAAAGAAGCATTAAAATAAGCGTTTACAGATTATATTTTCGACAATTTAAATTAATTATATAAATCCTAATTATAATTAGCTCGGTGAGGATTTTTTTTTTCTCATTTTTGTTTTTTAAATTTTAGTTTTGGAAACTACTGTGTAACCCGTTATGTATATTTTTTTCTCATCTTTCATAAATACTCTCTAAACCTGACGTTTTATTCCATATAATTTACGTTTAGACAATTAGTTGTAGTTAAAATAAGCTAGCGTTTGTTTTAACAATCGGATGTGTTGAAGTCGACGCCGCTGGTTTTGGTGCCGCGCGCCAATCGGTCCAACTCGGCCGCAGCGTCGGATCTCATCGCCGCTTTCTCCGGTTCTGATACGTTCAACTTGGAAACGTTTCCTCCAGCTGCTGCGGGCTTCTTGTTAAGAAGCGAATTGAAGAAGTTTGCCAGAACGCCCTCTCCGCCCGGTGAGTTAACGACTTTCGGTCCATCGAGCTGTTTAAATTACAAGTAAAACAAAATTATTAGAGGATGATTTTCAGTTTTTTCTTTTATGTTATCCACGAACCTTTTTCGGAGATCCTTGGATGCCCTGGGTCACTGGAGAACGGGAATTGACTTTGCCGATGCCCGAGGTACGCGGAGATTCCGTAATCCTCATGCCGGGTGGGGCCAAACTTCCTCCAGCCAGAAGGGTCTGCTGCTGCCTAGTCAAGAAGTTCTGTTCCTCCTCGGCTAATATTTCAGTTTCGCGAGTCACAGTCTAATAATAAAAATGGAAATATGATTATATAAATGTCATATAATTTTTTTTGTAAGTTTGCAACATTCACCTTTCTAGTGACTTGCTGTACGATAATATCACGATAGTAGTCGTCCGGTTTGCAGGTGTGCATGTTTTCGTGCAGTATAGCAATTTTCTTCATGTTATCCCAACCGGCCGGTATGAAGACTGCATCCTTTTCGACGACCAAAGCTGGAGTTCTGAAGGGAAGACTGTAGATGCGATGGGTCAAATACTTGTACAGAAGATCGCAATTTTTATCTTCCTTAGCGCTTGTATAGAAAAGTGCCGCTCCGTACTGCAAGCAGAAGCGACGAATCCATTGCTGCATAAAATCTAGATGCTCATCCTTGTAGTCGTGTTCCTTTTCCAAAACTTGCATATAATCTGTCTATAAAGCAATAAATATTGAAAATCATTCCAATTAGAAATATTTAAGTTAAAAATATAATGATGAAAATTTACCTTGGTCACAACAACTACAATATCCAAACCCAAATTATTGGTGAGGGTAGCTTCTGGTAATGGTAAACTATCATCAATGTCATTATCATCTGGATCACCCAGGTTCCTAGAACTTCTCTTCATAGGTGAAGAGGGGTCCAGTTCATCCCCAGGTTCCACATACTCTTGCCACATTTTGATAATGTGTTGCCTGCAAATTATTGTTGGTCAACAAACATTGTAACAATAAAAACAGAGAGCAAAAAAATAAACAACCTTCTGGCTTGTCTGCTATCAAAATCCAATTTAAGTTTATCAAGGTGGTCAGCAAGGACTGAAGCCCAATGCTGCAATTGCTCTAAAATACCCCATGGTGCAGTCATTGTGACTGTGAGTATAACAAGAGTGTGCTGGAAGCTCTCATTGTTCAATGCAAATTTCAAGAGATCAGTGTGGCCTGGATCTCCATCCAAAACCCACACACTCAAGCGGGTATGATCTGAAATATCCCAACAAAGAAACAGTTACATCATTAGGCCACAGGGAAAGTATAAATATTTACCATCCCTGTAATCATCTCTGACATCTATGTAGGCGTATTCCAGACCGGAACCCTTCTTCGGGTCTTCGACGCCCTGAAGTTTAGCAACTAAAGTTGTTTTTCCAGATTCGTTGTCGCCCAAAACGACGACTTGCTTGCAGGACGGTAGCTTCTGGTTGCCATGGGTCTGGACATCGTTCAAGATCGAAGACCTTTGATAGAGGCAATGTAAGTAAACTGAATTTCGTTGGAAATAGGAAAATCGCATACCATAAATTCTTCTTCGAAGAATCTTCAGTTTTATTTTCTCCGGACATAACCTCCGCCGAAGATGTCATCTTAAACGTCACTCAAAAATACATGGTATAAATCGGTAAAAATGTCTAAATTGGTGACTAATATGCTATGTTGCCAACTTATTCCGTATATGGATACAAAATTCACAGTTATTTTTGGTTTTCATTTGTAGTCGATAAGTGGTTGTTGCTCGTGCTTCTTTTAATAAATATTTTGAAACGTTTTGAAGGTTACACAATTAAAATCTTATTCGATTCTATAACAATCTATGTTAATAAAAATTCTATTGACTATTTTCATTCATCAATTATATATATATTTAAAGTTCTGTATTGAGTAAATCATTTCAATATAAATTCTTATAAGAAAAGCAAAATTTCAAATTTAGAAGAATTCTTAATTCTTATCATCCAGTTGGTAGCAACTTTTGAATCGCGTAGCGTGTTGCTAAAAAAAATAAATAAAAGCAAGAAACGTCACAGCAGTCATAGTTGAAGTTTATTCCATGTTCAAGTGAGGTTTTTTTTATTGTCAAAGATTTGACCTGTGTTTGGTACCTTTATGTAAGAATGAAGCAACTTTAAAAGTGAATCAAAGCGAGTGTCGACGATGGAATGAGAATAGATGGAACAGATGTTTCTGGAAAGTTCTGTGGCAGGCAATAATGGCAAAATTTGGAATGTCAAATGGCAGGAATCAAGAATCAGACTCTTCATCTGATGAACCAGAAGACGTTAGCTCAGTTTCGACAATTATGAGACCCATGAATGCTTCCACGCCAATCTCAATCACAATCCAATCCCTAGTGAAAAGTCTTTGTGAAGTTTATGAACCACAAAGCAATGAAGCTGAGAAATTGTATTTCTCTATATGTAAGAAATTAAATGAAATTTCTATCATAGATGAGAGCTACAAGATGCCTGAGTTTGAGGGAATGAGGAATCAGAGCCAAAGAGTGTTCCATCATCTCCTCTCAAAAGCTCTCAGTAATGATAATGTGATCCCAAAACAATTGCATTGGCCCAACAATGATGTTACTGATGAATGGTCTCATTACAAAAGGGAATTTGAAGAGGTGTCATTTATTGCTGGAGGTGGATTTGGAAAGGTAATTCTATATTGTGTTACAAGTTTGAACTTGTTTTAACCTGTGGAATATTGTTGGCACAATGCCAATTTATTTTTATTTAGATATGTATATTTTTCTGAATGGATTTTATCATAGTTTACAATAGGTGATGGATAAAATTTTATCTATCTAATGTTTTTGTTTGTAAATATGAAAGTATAAAAAAAAATCCAATTGGAAATCTTAATTTCAGTTTTATGTAAATATTGAATAAATTGCAAGTATTTTTAGGTGTACAGGGTTAGACATAAATTGGATGGCACAGAGTATGCAGTGAAGAAGATTTTTATACGCTCAGAGGGAATTGAGTCTGTGAGGAATTACTTATCAGAAGTGAAAACATTTGCAAGTCTCAATCATTCCAACATAGTACAATATAAAGCTGCATGGCTGGAGCTAGGTGAATCTCAAACAACGCTAGACAACAATTACGATTACAGTGATGATTTTGAAGATAATGATGAAGAGGATACCGAAGAAGATACGGAGAAGTCGCAATTACGCGATTCTTACATTTATCCGAGCGTTATCTCCGATATAACAATGGAACAAGGGGATGGAGATAGTTCTGATTTTCGAGTGAGCTTCGAAACATCTACGCATCGATCGTTTTCGAATGGTCAGAGTACTAAAAGGGTATCGAAGCGCACGAAGAGAAGCAGTATTTCGGAGGGTGGAAACGCGATTTGTACAACGGAGGAGATCAAGAGGATACAGCTGAGAACTCGTCAGAAATGGGCAACACTTTTCATTCAGATGGCGTACTGTCAGAGCACTTTGAAGCAATGGCTAGATACAAGGAACATGGCAGAGAAGACCATAGATAATGGAGCGTTAGTTCCCATTTGTAATGCCAATAGAGTTAGAACAGTGATGGAAATTTTGAGGCAACTGCTTCAAGGACTCTCTTATATACATTCTAGAAACATTGTGCACCATGATATAAAACCTAGTAACATTTTTATGCAGTTGGAAGATGGAACGTTGCTAGTCCAATTGGGAGATTTTGGTTTGGCTTGCCCTCTGCAAAGCAGCCGACATTCACTTGCCTTCGGTACCAAACTCTACGCGGCACCCGAACAACTCAAAGGTGAATGCGATCGAAAGGTAAACTAATTAACTTGAAAATTATCGAATGAAATTTTTATTGAAATTGTGTTTCAGAGCGACATGTTCTCTTTGGGGATAGTCGTATTCGAACTGGCCGAGACGTTCAGAACGAGCATGGAGAGAATAAAATGCATCGAGGATTTACGAAAAGGTGCAATTCCAGTTCACGTGAAAACCAATCAACCTCAGCTGGCGCAGATCATCGGTGAGCTTATGATGAAAAACCCAGCTGAGAGACCTGCTGCTGCGGATTTACTCAAGAGGATCAACACCGAGGTCTTCGAGTCGGAGAAGGTTCGTCAACTAGAGAACATGTTGGCGGAGAAACAGGAAGAAATCATCAAGTTGAAGCAGCAACTTGCACAGGCTCAATCCGATCTCCTGTAAAACTCGAATTATTATTGCCAAAATTATATTACTTTGTCTATTTTATTTTTAAGGCCATTTACAATAATTACATTATTGCATCGTCATATTTTTTTTTTCATTGTTATATTGTTGCTGCGATGAAGACATTTTTATTCGATAACTTTCATCGAGCGATGGACGGCAGTATTGTTTCGGCGCTTTTTGGCGCCACTTGATTCATCGAAATTCCATTTCTTTGTGTTCTATCAAACGTTTTCGTTATTTAGTTTTGGATTCGAAGAATTGTTTGCAAATGCATCTGTTTGCATGTTTTACATTTGAAAGTTGAAATTATTTTTTTACGTACATTATTGATAGGATGAAGTCATTTACTTTTGTACAATTCTCAACATTATTGTACAAAGCATCCATGACTGAACATAAGTGATTCATGAAAGAAATGTGATAATTTTGAAAGTTACTTAATAAATAATTTTTAAATTGATGTTTTTTATATTGTATCTATTATTTATTTTATACTGTTTATCTTCTCGAGAATTCCCGAAAAAAAAAAAACAACTACATTAACTGCTTTTTACTGGAACGCAAATACAACATTATTTTATTTCTATTACGATGTGTGCCAATTTATCGAGGAATCTTTTCAACATTGAAATGTTTATTTATTCTAATTTCAAAGTTCACAGTCATTATAATGTAGAATACTCCATTCTTCTCTATTTGATCTTATTTTATTGGGTCTATCAACCAATTATCATAGAAAATACAGATATATAAGAGTATAAATATAATAAAATAATATTATATATTGCAACAATAAAAATAAAAATCCCGACGTCCGAAATCTTGACTGTATCGAAATCCAGACTATATCAAAATCTCGACAACCATAATCCCGACTATATCGAAAATTTTTACAATAATATTTTTAAATTATTTCGGAGCGTAGTCACCTTGTGCTACACTTTTATTATTAATAACAATAAATTCTTATTAATTTATTTGATTTTGTTGAATTATTCATAATAAACCTTAACATTATGAAATAATCTCAAATACAATTAGATTATTAATTGTTATTATTTATTAATAATAACAATTTAAAAGTCAATACGCTGCGAAATAATTTAAAAATGTTATTGTAGACTTAGTCGGGATTATGGTTGTCGGGATTTCGATACAGTCGGGAATTTGATTGACGGTATTTCGGTTGTCGGGCTTGGGATTGCCACCCATTCTTATGCTTTATAAAGTAAACGTTTTGCAAATGTAGATTAAAATAAAAATCTTTATTTCATAGTTGTATTCTACATTTAAACTTGCACAATTTTCATTATTGTGTTGTTTATGAATGTCTACCTTTGGTATCAAACTTTGATAGAATATGTTTCATAATACTTATTCAGACTTTAACATGTTTTAAATAAATTATATAATCCATTCAATCATAAATTGGCACTGATTAAGATTTATATTTTATATAGAAAATTTTCTTCTTTAGAGTGAAAACTGCCAACGTTATATTTTAGTAGCTAACTTCAAGTCGTTGTTACTGTGAATAGAATTGCCTGCTCGTAGCATTTCGTATTTATTTAATTTTATAAATAATAGCTAGCAGTAGTTTTTTTTTTTGTTAAAGAATATTACTTTAAGAATGGCAGAGGATAGGAGACTCTGGATAGGAAATCTGGATCCGCGAATAAATGAGTAAGTATTAATTTCCTACCCACACAGTTCTCAAACTAATTTCTTCTTTTTTATTATTATTGGTATCAACTACTTAAACTCGTGCAAAAATATGGAACAATTGATAAGTTCGACTTGCTCTTCCATCGAAGTGGGCCACTGTCAGGTCAACCTCGAGGTTATGCCTTTGTCACATACACTCGCAAAGAAGATGCAGTGAAAGCTAAAGCCATGCACAACACATTGGTGGGAAACAAAAACATAATTGTAACCTGGGCTCACAGTGTTCCAAATGTAAGAGTAATATATATTGTTTGTATAAATTTATTTATTATTATTTTGATTATAGGAAGATATGGAGAAACCTAAAAAGGCTGATGTCAATATTCCAGCATTATCCTTAGCAATGACAGACAAGAAGACAGATCGCATGCATCAGATCCAGGCAATTGAGGCTAAACTGAAACTAATGGAAAAACAAAATTCCAAAGAACTGGAGATCAACAAGACTGTATCTGAGGAACTGCCAATCATATCTCAATATCAGCAAAACAAAAGCACAACAACAAAACTTCCTATGGTTAAACGGAATCCAAGGCAAAACTACAAACCATACAAGAAGAATTGATGTTTATGCATTATATTGCAGCCTTACTGAATAGTGTTCATTGTTGTAAAATGATATCAAAATGTTACAGAGTGTATTAAGATTATAATAGGTTAAAGATCTCTTTATTTATAACTATTTATTTAATAAACTAATTTTATTTAAATCTATTTTTCGTTCTGTACAAAATCTATTCTTTAGCGTTAATGAATTTTCCTCTCATATGGTTTGGAAGTGGACAAATTCCAGGACATGGAACCTGGCCAGGTATCTCACATATGCAATGTTTATCGCAGTGAGCTCCAAAGTTGGCAGGATTATCTTTCTTCTCTCTGGCAATGGCTTCAGCCCTCAAAACTTCCCTAAAATAATAAAAAATTCAATTCCATCTCTTTAAATAACCTAATAGACAAATTACTTTGTTTTTCCTACAACATCAACAAGATGATCATATATTTCTTCTTTTGATTTGCTATCAACATCAATTAACATTTGGTGTCCATTCTCTGAAAACAATTTATTAGTTCACACATTGCAACATTACAATTACTATTAAATTACCATAAAAACATTTAATAAAAGGAGAAGGAGTCAAGTTTTTGAATGTGGCTATTTGCACATGTGGGTTCTTATATTGTACTTGAGGGAGATGCCAGAAGACGAAATCTCTGTAAATTATTGTAGAAATAAGTAGAATTAAATCATTTTAAGAAGGTGTTGTTAAAGAACTACCTGGCTCCTTTATGGTGATCACCATAAACATTGTAATTGACAGCAAATATTTGTATTTGGTCCTTCAGGACTAATTTACCAGCTTCCAAAAATTGAAGAGTACGCCTGATAGGCGCATTTCCTTTCATAAAAGGCATATTTTTTTGAAATTAATATTTCTTCCTAACCTTAAATACAAACTATTACATATGAAGTGAGCGTACGGTCGGTCAAATGTCTTGACGTTTTTTATGCAATTAGTTCAAAATTTACATTGAAAATAATCAAAATTAAGATTAATAAATATCAAATTCTTATCAGTTTATAATTACAGAAGAATAATTATTTTTTTACAAATATAAAATGTTGGTATTAACTGTATTATTATAAAATATTTTCTTTTAATTTGTATTTATAATTCTAACAGTTTTAATTTAATGAAAAGATTAGTTTATGTAAAGACGTTCAATTATTAAATAGAATGAATAATGGCTTATTTTCATTTTAAAATGCTTTAGTAGTTCATTAGTTACATATTGTTTTCTTGCAGTTGGTAGCACTGAATGATATTACGGCTCCTTGCTGGTCGATAAAACAGTTTCTTTCCTTTTCGTGCAACAACGTTGTCAAAATGGTATGTTTACAAAATTTATCCTCCAAAATCTATAAAATCCTATAGTTATATTGCAATTGGTTCCTTCATACAACATTTTATAATTCACTATTAAACGAATCGTTCGAGATTTTTGCAAAAAATCTATTTTAATTTACCCTTAAAACTTTTAACCGTTCTAACAAAAATATAACCTTAAAATACAATTGCAATGGTAACATCAAAGTGCATTTTTGTATAAATAGATTTTAACATGTTCCGTCTTCTGTTTTCAGTCTCTCGTAATTCCAGAGAAGTTCCAACACATCCTTCGTATCATGAGTACGAATATCGATGGTAAACGTAAAGTTATGTTTGCCATGACTGCCATCAAGGGTGTTGGTAGGCGTTATGCTAACATCGTCTTGAAGAAGGCCGATGTTGATTTAAACAAGAGGGCTGGTGAATGCTCCGAAGAGGAAGTTGAAAAGATTGTCACTATTATGACTAACCCACGTCAATACAAAATCCCAGACTGGTTCCTTAACAGGCAAAAGGACATCATTGACGGAAAATATAGTCAAGTAAGTGAATACAAGTGATCTATTGAGTTTAGGAGTTTCTTTGGGATGTGAGAATGTATTTGCTAATGGTTTGTGTGTCTTTGCAGTTGACCTCCTCTAACTTGGACAGCAAGTTGCGTGAAGATCTTGAGCGTATGAAGAAGATTCGCGCTCACAGGGGAATGAGGCACTTCTGGGGCCTCCGTGTCCGTGGTCAACACACCAAGACTACCGGCCGTCGTGGACGCACTGTCGGTGTATCCAAGAAGAAGTAAACTTGATTATGTATGATTTACATTATTTAATAAAAAATGAAAAGAAAAAAACATAAAATAACACATTAATTTCTAAACCTTCATTAAATTGTCCCAATCCCAAGTACAATCCACATTCCAATCATTGTGAGACACCTGATGATTGGCAGCTTTGACAATAGATCTACCTCCTTTACTAAATCTTCCAAAACAGATGATCATGATGTATAATACTATTTGAATCTTTGGTATCATATTTGTAAATTTTATTATATGGATTTAAGTTTTAGCAACGATTTGTGGCTCAATGTTTGATAGAAGATCGTCTTTGTTTAGTTTCTATACATAGTGTAAATCATTTACTTCTAAAGACTTCTATTAGTAGAGTACAATATATTATAACATATTGTTAAGTATTTGATGGCTCAAATACTCTTCATTCTTTCATTTTTTCTACATTTCTACATCAATATATTGATAAATAACTTAAATAAAGATCAAATTCATGTTTCTAATATATTAATAACATTTGTGTAAACATCAAACAAGACTGGATTAACAATAAAATTTTGATGAAAACCCAAAGTTCAAATTGGAAGATTTTTATCTTTTGCATAGTTCTTGATTTATGTCCATAATTATTCGATCATGACCATCACAGATAGTGCACTTTTACAGGGCGTTTTTTTACATCCATCAATTTATTACAGTATTATTCTCTACATGAACGAGTCAATTTATTCCAATCATTTCATCTCTTCCGCACGAACTTTTACAATTTTTCCTAATAATTGCATACAGCAATGTAGTTCGGGTAAACGATTCCGTCAACATCCCGGACTGTTTGAAACCGAACTAATCGAAGAACTAAATCAGTGATTCCCAAAGTGGTCTATATCGACCCCCAGGGGTCTATGACAACCTGCAAGGGGTCTACGTCAACGAAATGAAAATTTGGGGGTCCATGAAATGAAAATGGGGGTCCACGATAGTGGATCTCAACATACACTGACAGTACCTATTTACTATCTATTATACTCTCTTATAATATAAAGACATATACATTATTTAGTTGCTAAAAATTTGAGTATTAGATTGTATGAATCTCTTCAATTAGTTGAATACTTCCATCAATTACTCCTTCACACTGAAGTACGCTGTCTGTCGAAAGGCTTATGTTTGACAAGATTTTTTGCACATTTTGAGACTATTTTAGAATTTCTGGATACTAAAGATAAAATTTTAAAATATAATTTAATGAAGTGGAAAACAGACATCGTCTATTTAACAGATTTGTTTAGAAAATTTAATATGGTTAATTTGCAGTTACAAGGCTACAGTCTAAATTTGATTTATATAACAAATACAAAATTTTATTTTGAGTAGTTTTAATTTATGTATAAAACTTAACATGTGTTTTTACTTTAAGTTTTTAACACTAAACTTCAATACAGTTAGAAATTTACAAAAAAAATCAATATCAGGTAAGTAGGGGGTCTACCCAAAACCGAAAAACATGGCAAGGGGTCTACAACACAAAAAAGTTTGGGAACCTCTAAACTAAATAAATTAGAAATAAGTGATATAACAGTAATAATTTTGGGTACTTTTTTTTAGAAATTAATTTAATTTTGCACAATTAAAATTTAGTTTGTTTTTGAAATTTTCAAACCGTATTATAGTAAATTCTCATTTCTCAAATATCTAACTTTCATATGAATATTTTGGATCCACTCTATATATTATAGTATCTCATAAAATCACTAAAATGTGATCACTGCTTTTTCGAGCGTCCATTTTTCATAATTACATTTATGAAAGCGAATTTTAGTCGAATGGATGAGCACGCCTTATATTCCCCAAATATCCAACGTTCTTCTTCAACTTCTTCCTCCCCCTTTTTCATTTGGCTTCCGCATTACGCGCCAATAAGCCAGCCACTGTCTGTATATTCAAAACACAAAAATAAAAAAAAAAACTTATTCTTCGGATTTCTTCCTCCGCCCAAATAATTAGCTTCTCCCAATAAACCAAAACTTCTTTCCTCAGCCCAAATAATCAAAATAAACAACTTCTTCTAACGCAACTAAAAAATAACTATTAAATCAAACTTAAACTAATTTCTATAACATATGTACATAGGAGAGATACGGCAAGACAGGTAAAAACAATAAAGGTAACGGATCGAACATAAATGTAAAACGAATTTCGAACCGGAGTCCCAGCGGTTCAGAACTCAGGTTCTTGGAGAGACCTCGGATATCCAACGTTTATATGCTTCTTTTGGATCCACTCCATCTATTATAGTTTTGTTAGAAAATCACTAAAATGTGTTTCATTTTTGAAAGAGAATTACAACAAAATAGATGAAATCTAGATAATAACAAATTATTTATACAGAAATATTTAAATTTGTATATGGAAAACAAAACCTCAATATTTCTTGAAATATTGCAGAAACTTAACTGTGAATTTTCATACAATTAGCGTATTATTTCTATTAGATTGAAGGTATAATTTGGATTTGAGTTATTAATTTTGAAAAATAGACTTAATTTGTCTTTAATTTCAAAGAGGTGTTGAGCGACGATTTTGAAGAGAAAAATAATTCATATATAAGACTATTCAATGCTGTATTTGTGTTATGTTATTAAAATTGTCGTTAGTTAGAGTTTAATGTTTTAAAGAAAGTTCATATTTGTATTAATTTGTTGTATAACTAACAAACGAGTATCGGGTTGCCATTAGTAGGTTTGGCTTTTAGTTGCATCAAAGTTTTAGTGCAGGAGTCTTATTTCACAAGATGTGAACTATGCAATCAATAATGTAATATATTCAATAATATTATATATAGAAATAAAGTATATCTAACTTCAGAATAAGTTAACTTAAAATATATGCTAAACAAGAAACATTAATTAATTAAAATAATATATTTGATCCATAAAACTATAATACAATACTTTAATAATTAATTACAATTAGTGACTTCCTTCAAGTAATCTTTTGTAACTTAGAATGGTTTTTTTTTTCAACTACAAATCTGATACAAGCATCACAATTCGTCAGTATGAATATATTTCTAATTTAATTCAAAATTAATTTAATTTGGGAAAATATTTTCTTTTGAAATATAGCTAGAACAAAAAGTAGACAGCAAAGTAAATCCAACTTTGATCTTCTAGTTAGAACCTGACCAATATGACAACAAATGTTATATAAATGTTATTTGATCTTAATTCCCTGAATTTTCCGTCTCACATGTTTGCGTTTTTAAAATCAATAAGTTCAAGTACAAAATTTTCTATTTCAAGATATTCAATTATGTTTCATACATTTTGTATATTTTGATGGATTAATCTAATAAATGATGTAAAACTGGAATCTGCAAAGCTAAGTTAGTAGTTAATGTAGAGCATAAAAGTTGTCTGAAATTAGAATAAAATTGAATAAAAGCTGCATATTTCATGACTTTTTTACAAACTTGAATTAAGCTTCAATAAAAAATATCGAATTGAATTATTTCAAAGGAAACTAAAGAGAATTTAAAGTAAATTTAATAGATATTTCTTGGTAATTAAAAAAAAAGTAACTAATTCATAATGTAATTTGATAAAAAATCGTTTCCTTCAATATCCCGTACTGTATGAAACTGGACTTTAAAACAGTATAAAATTAAACAGTTTGTACAATTTTTATGGAATATTTTTTAAACAGTAACCGCACTATACAAGGAATTGCTGTATATTAGATTTTTCAAGCAATTTTATTAAATATTGTTAAGTTTTTATTTAGAAATATAAAGGATTACATGAGAAAGTTTGTTAGTTTCGCTTGGATGTGATTGCAATATAATAAAGGTTACACGCCATACATTGCTTCATACATTCATCAATGTTGTAGAAGCATGTGGCCCTCTTCGACCCTCTTTAGATCCATATTCTCACACAGCAGGTGCACATGAAAGTTCTATATATTTTTTTAAAGTGCATATCCGCATTATATTTTTTTAATATGAATGAAACACGGGTAAATAAGTATTTGAAGAGGAAACGGTCGTTCCGGCCGGTTTCAAACATAATTTATTATCCCATAATCTTATAAGAAAATTGCCGCAAACAAGAAGCCTATGAGACATCTTCGTTTGAACATCAATAGTAGTAAAAAAAGAACAAAGAACGCAGTCGATTTTCACTTGTAGAATTGTATAATTTTTAATTTGTACGGTATCTTAATTGTTCTTGTGAAAGTGATTGAATTGAATCGAATCCTCGATGATTTAAATCGTGTTATCCGGAGATGGGAGAGAAGTCCTTTAGATTTTGAAGCGGGCGTTTAATATTTGCTTTAATTAACGACAGATTAATTTACTCTCGTCTGGAGGAACGAAGTTTTTGTGCTCGTGTAGTGGAGAAGCCTTCCGATTATAAACTGTGTGTGTGTGTATTGAAAAAGGGATTTCCTTAATTGGAATTTAATGCATAATTAAGTTCAAATTAAGAGCGCAACTCTTGCCTCTGCGCATCGAGCATATTCTCAACGAAATTTATTGTTGTTCCTTATCCTCTTCCATCCCTTACTTCCTCCTTCAAACATTTCCGGTTGTTTTTGTTTTGTTGCTGTTGTTGTTCCCTCTTCCATGCATTTTTCAGCGAATCGTCGAGGTTTCGAAAACGTAATCTTCTTATGCCCGTCGACGTACATAAACCATTTGTTTTCAAGGGGATTCCCCTCCACCCGCAAAAGGTAAATCATAGATATATATATACAAATATACAAACAAAAAAAACATAACGGAAATGGATTCCTGCAAATCCTAAGAACCGAGTTATTATTACAACGACTTAAATCGTTTAAAAAAGAAACGAACGTCTTCCTGCTCGAGCTCAACTCATCCCCCCACTAATCCTATTGTTTCCAAAGGCATCTAGATCATTTTTTTCCCGTCCTTCTTTCAGTTCTCCATCATTTTCTTTTTTCAGCTTTTCTCTCGGTGCGCTTGTTTTCATTAGTTACGGACGATTGAAATTCGTTTTTATCGTCGATCCTTAAATTGCTCGCTCACCTGAACCGCAAGGA